TAGCATAAGCTAATGCTCGCTGAACAATTATTAAATGTCATAATAGCAGTTTCAAAGTCTGAAAATGTACAAACGTCTCATCAAAAGTACTATGCCATGAATAACTCTAGCATAATGAATAAAAATACTCAACATGCGACCATTTGGGTCTGCAACCTCGATAAACACTGCGAATGGCCAGCGGTTCCTGAAAGTAATTCATTTTGTTTATGCTAACTGCTGTTGCACACGCTTGCAAACGTAAATGAATTGTATAGTATGCTGGTGTCTATTTATAGAGCTGCCGAAAGCACAGACTTTGATACTGGCGCAGTCATTCCTATTGGCTAGACACGAAGTAAACGGTCATTATTAGAATCACAGGCGTTCAGCCCGCACAATGAACGCCATTGAGATAACCCGTCTAAACTCGGCCACAGACCGTGCCCGTCTTCCATCCAGATCACTGTGTTATCTGACACGACCGTATGCGACGGCCTGCACTGTGGTGCTCGGCGTCATACTGCAGCAGCCCCTCCTCCCCTGCCCCCTTCCTCCGCCCCCGCCCCCGGCCGTCTGGCCCCTGAGAAGTCCGCCGGCCACCGACCAACCGCCGGGTCCAGTCTCTGACCCCAGCCGACGCGACGGCCGGCCGTACCCATCCGCCTATAACCCACGGTCAGAGCAGCTACGGCTGGTTACCACTGTGGGTTCAGTACCGTTGCCACTAGCCTGAGTGGGGCGCAAACGTTCGTCTTTGGACGTTCCGGACCATTAACGCCGGCCACGCAATGACCTTGACCACGGCCCACTGCACTCGTGCTCCGAGAAGACAGGGAGCGGACGACGCTCGTTGCTGGACAGCCGAGATTACGGGGTCGTTTAATAAACCAGACCAAAAGGTGTTGTCCGCGGTGCTAAAGTAAAAAGATGGTGCCTGTCATTAATATTCGTGATGTTCGAAATATTACAATGGTTTGTTTAAATGCCGCATAAAAGGCTAACATGTTTCAAATGTAATCCACAAATAGCAACTTGCTGATAACCGGTGTTAATTTGAAGTCGCATGCGCCATAACACCATGTGTCCTGACATCGAATGATGTGCATCGAATCATGTGACACAATAAACATTTGCCAGAAGCAAATATATAACTGATGATCTTTCGACATTCTTTCAACACGCGCACTGCAGGGGGTTGTTTTCAACCCCCCTCTGGTTTTTTCGCTGTAACTCAAAAACCAGTCAAGCTACGACTTTGAAACTTTGTATAGCTGTTCATCAAACAATTTTACATCACCTCTGAAAAAATTAGTGTTAGGTCGTGCAAGGTCAGGTCACCAGGTCACGATAAGTGACCACACCTCATAAAAAGTTTGACGCTGTGATACATCCACACCATTTGACTGAATGCTATGAAACTTTCAGAGACATATTAGGAGACCATAAAGAACATTTGGTATATTTCGAAATTTGTATTTCTGTGACCTTAGGTCAGGTCACTTTTTGGGGCCCGGCATGCAATTCAACGGTCACCAACGGTTTTTCTTCAATAACTTTTAATTGAATAGAGATAGAGACTCCGTTCGACGTTTATCGTGTTTGTCTCGTCAATGCAGATCGAATGATATGCAACATGACCTATTTCTGTCAGGTCATGACCTTGACCTGAGGTCAACTTTTGAACTTGACCTTTCGAGGTCATATTATATACCAGTCGATGCGCCTTGACGAGCTAAGAACGATGGTGTGTGAATTATTTCTCTATCTCTTTGGGAAGAAAAGTTATTGCAGAAAGAGCATTTCCGGAAAATTTGCAACATTGAAATGACATATGAACTCTATAGGCTGAACCGTTGACCTTAGGTCAAATCTGAGGAGAGCTTAGCGAAAGAGCGTTTCAACAGCTATCGAATACTTTTTTTCGCAACTTTCTAGCTCATCTAGTTCCCGAGATAAAGCGGGAAATATGGAGGGATGTCGAGATCGCTAAAAAATCGCAACATTTTGAGTTTGGTCACCTCTGGTGACCTCGTTTTTGACCTAACCCAAAAATGATCTTAATATTTCTTGTAGATCTCATCTCAACCTATCCAACGCCGTTTACCGCTTGTCGTTACGTTGCACCGTTTTCGAGATCTCAGGGGGGGGGGGGGTATTTTCAACCCCCCCCCCCCTGCAGCTCGTGTTCGGCTCAGACCCGCTGCAGTGTGCGTGTTAAATTCAAGGCATAATTTTACCTGAGATCTATCGTTGGTTAAATGTTGAAGCATCACCAGCAATGCCGAATGCAATAATTATATTCTGCAGTGTAGTCGCAATCATTATGGACAGTAGGACAATATGGTCCATATCACCATAAATTTCAACGAAAGGCGTATCACATTCTTCGATGCCCGAAACGTCTAAGAGTGAATGACAAATAATCGCTGTGTGGTAGGAATCTCATCTCCTCGGGATGGATCACCGATCAGACCGGTCCCCCGGGAATCCGCTGGCCTCTGATCGACTCCCCGTCCAGGGATTCTCTGCAAAGGCGCTCGCTCGACCCACTGCCAGCGAGGTCGTCGCACCTCTCTTGTGCGAAAATCTTTTGGGAATCCTTCGGGAATCTTTCGGGAATCCTTCACCAGCTCGATTAAGCAGAAATGTGACCCCTCAGCGTCGTGGTGCTGTTGGAGAGGGCATATAACCGGTCATGCTCACAAGAGGAAGATATTCATCATAAAGAGATGTCCCTTGGGTCAGATTGGCGGGCTCGCTGCCTCGCACGATGGTGTGCCGCCGGTAAATGTAAATTCAGGCGGCAGGCATCCGTTTAGGGATGTCAAGTCAGGGATGAGTGATGTTTGCGTCAGCTCGTCTCTGAAACGACAATATTCTAGGAAAGACAGATGTCGATCATTTTTTTTTTGTAGAGTATCGGTAGCAATATCGCTGCGTTTACTTGGGGTAACTTCTTTTTCACAAAGTACTGCAAGATATCGTGACTTTAAGAATTCGTGTTTTCCTAAATTAAATAAAAGGAAATGATACGATATGTCAAACTTATTATTTTAGCAACAAATCGATGCGAAGAAATGAGTACTCCATCCCGACCTGGCCACTTCACCAAACGTTCTCTTTCCTCTCAAAGTCCGTAGCGACAAGCTGAGTTAATTCCTTCCGGCCGTGAGAAATGACCGGCACGAACAGTGAACGTCCTTCTGCGCGACAAACGGCCTCCAGTGACGTCATTGACGTCTCGGTATGACGTCACAGCTGGCACTGGCCATCGCAGTGTCGTCGCAGCCCTGTTAAACGGTCCGAATGAGAGTTGGTTACGCTCGGAAATCACTCGGCGGCCTGCGGAGAACGTTCGTTTCAGGACGGCAATGAGAGTAGATTTGCATTGGAAGGGTGCGGCCTTTGTGACTGCCTCGCTGCTAACTTCTTCAGCTGCCCTAGACTGGATGAAGGCTCTGTGGCTGGGAGGAGATAGGGGGAAGTGGTATTTCCTAATGCTCGCAGAACGGATTTGAAAAAGGTGACGAAATGATTTGACTCGCACACTGCCCACCTGCTGCTATAAGATGGCTTTGGCATTTTGTCTATGGTTTATTGGCTTATCGAGTCATTTACGCCATAAACTTTAATGCATATGCATTGCACTGCCTTGTGTTAATTGTACCAGATATTTTACCAGCCAAATGTACAATGTCAGGTCGTTTTTACTGATTTTCGAAATGTTACTATAACAATCTTCTCAGCATGTGTACCTACGCCAGTGGTGTTGACCATGCACAAACAAACTGGGTACATAAAAAACGAAAATAAAATAATGCTACACGAAAATACCGGCGACATGCCTACATATGTGCTTTATGTTTCGATAACAAATACCGTGTATGGTGCTTAGAAAGTGTTTTAAGTGTTTAGAAAGTGTTAGGAAGCATTATAAAACTCAATGATGGTACATACTTGAGAGTACGTGCACCAAGTTACTGACACTGTGGTTTTCATCTTAAAAGCTGACGTCTTATAATTGCGAAATACGCACATTGTTTCAACGAAAGAAACGTTAAACACAAGATATGTGGTGTAACCCAAATACATCGATTCGTAATGGCCCAGAGTCCGAGAGAGGAGGTGAGTGGGCGCCAATAGTCGTACGGAGAGGGATACCAATGACGATTGGTGGGGGGGGGGGGGTAACTGGGGGGGGGGGGGCAGCCCCCTGTGTGGTGGCGGTGCTGCGCCGTGGAGATGGAGAGCGAGAGAGTAGCCGCGGCAATCGATGAGACGGCGCATACCGACGGTCGGACGGACGGCGGCGCTGAATTCGACCGCACCACTGAGCCAGTGCGGCGCGCGAAACCGACCCGGCGTGACCTCGGTCAGACACCTGACCTGACCTCACCTGACCTGACCCCAGAGAGTCGGAGCTGTGTGATCCGAGAGAGTGATTCGTCAGAGAGATTTGATTCGAGTGGCGGTGATTGATAATTTGGATAGAGTGGATTTTCTTGAGTCTGCAGTGATCGGGGCATCAGTGAAATGACCTGAATGGCGTGATTTGAGTGATCTGACCAAACACGGAAAGTGAAGCGTAAAACGATGTGAGGCTGGTCAGGGATGCAGCTTGAAATGGATGTTGCGTACCGGTGGTGGCTGCTGCAATATTTATCGCCGCGGATTTTCGTGATATTTGACTCTGGTCTGAGCACTGCGGATTTGCGTGAAACTCGACCTTGAAGTGGTGGTTTCCGGCTCCTGGAAAACAACTTCCTTCAGTCATTTGCAAGTGGAAGTTTTGCATGTAATTAGCTAGAGATAATTCAACAATCCTAATTTTTGTCAGCTGAAGACAGGCTAAGCTCGCTAATTAAAGTTGCATTGGGGTTGCTAATACCAATGATGAGCCGAAGATGACAACTTCAGCGCAAGTCTTCTGAGTTGTTTTCGATAAAAAATATTCGGCAAGACCATGCTTCAGCGAAGGCTGGGCGCTCTTCTACTGTCGGATGTTTCTCTCTGAGGACATGACCAGCAAGAACAGCGTCGGCGCGCTGGAACTGGTGGCCGCCCCGGATCACCCACTTCTGTGTCGGCCCGGCTCGCCACCAGCCTCCTGTGGGTCACCACCAGCCTCCTGTGGGTCACCGTCAGTCCCCTGTGGCTCCCCGCCCCCCTGCGGCTCCCCGCCGCCTCTCCACGGCTCGCCAAGACCCTGCCGCTCACCGAGTGTCGCTCCGGAGATCGTGCTCGACCTGGGACACCTGGACGAGCCGTGTCGGCGCCACCACTCCCCAGCCTGCTCTGCCTGCCCCGTGCTGCCGACCTCTCCCCGGTCGCCGTGCTCGCCCAGCACTCCCGGCTCTCCCGGCTCTCCCGGCTCTCCGAGCGGGCGAGCGCCGCCTTCCTCCTCGACAGGCCTCCTGGAGGTGCCGCGCTTCTACCGTCTGCGGGCTCCGTCTCTGTCAACGAGTCCCTCGGAGCAGGACATCTGCGGTATCAGCGACGACAGTGTGGCGACCCACGACGAGCGACCGGCCTCGTCCGAGCGCCTGCTGTCGCCGGACATAGCTAGCCCGGCGACGGTGCAGTCCAGGGGACCTCGCAGCCGTCTGCTGCGGGTCTCACGCAGTCTGCGGCGGGCGAGACCCTCCCTGAGGCTGCCAAGGATCCTGCGCAGGAGATCCAAGCACACGATGGATAACAACTACGACTACATCTACACACTGGTGGGTGATAATGGGTCACACATTCGCCTCAAAAAGCCACAGGGTTTGTGCGAGCTGTATGAGGTGTGGATGCCGTACATACAATTATACACAATACGCAGTTGGCTAATAATCTTCTTGGCTTGTATGTTTCAAAGAACGTTTGGGATAATCCGAAGTGCGGGACGTGACATGCTCTTTTCAACCTCATAGTTTCCAAGTACATACATTGGGCTCATTACAATGTAAGAACTTCATCAGGTCCTGGCTACCATCATATATGGCAGTCTCGGGCTCGTCTCTTGCAAACACTTTCTTTGACCCATTGGTGCGAACCCGTCATTGAAATGAGATGTAAGGAAGTGAGAAAGAGAAAGAGAAAGCGAGAGAGAGAGAGAGAGGAGAGAGAAAGAGAGAGAGAGAGAGAGAGGAGAGAGAGACAGAGACAGAGAGAGAGAGAGAGAGAGAGAGAGAGAGAGACAGAGAGAGAGAGACAGAGAGAGAGAGACAGAGAGAGAGAGAGAGAGAGACAGAGAGAGAGAGAGACAGAGAGAGAGAGAGACAGAGAGAGAGAGAGACAGAGAGAGAGAGAGAGAGAGAGAGAGAGAGACAGAGAGAGAGACAGAGAGAGAGAGAGAGACAGAGAGAGAGAGAGAGACAGAGAGAGAGAGAGACAGAGAGAGAGAGAGAGAGAGAGAGAGAGAGAGAGAGAGAGAGAGAGAGAGAGAGAGAGAGAGAGAGAGAGAGAGAGAGAGGAGAGAGAGAGAGAGAGAGAGAGAGAGAGAGAGAGAGAGAGAGAGAGAGAGAGAGAGAGAGAGAGAGAGAGAGACAGAGAGAGAGAGAGAGAGAGAGAGAGAGAGAGAGAGAGAGAGAGAGAGAGAGAGAGAGAGAGAGAGAGAGAGGAAGGAAGGAAGATCAATTACGTAGCCATATTAAACTTTTTTACGTTGCTGAAAATTAAACCGTGGTCTGTCCTGTCTTTTTCACAGGCTATTTTCAAATGGCTAGGTCGACATGTAAAACGGCTGGTTATAAAAGCTTTCTCGCAATATCGATGTTAGAGTGAGTTTGCGAAATCTGTGGATCCGCGGATTTCCTAGGGAATCCGCGAAGTCCCTAGTGGCTCCGCGGATGAACACCAAGTCTAGTATATTCGCAGATAAACGGGCGGGGATCCGCGGATGAACAAGACTCTTCAGGATAACCGCGAACTCCCTGAAGAGTTGACGAGATCCGCGAACCACCCGGGGAATCCGCAGAGTAACGATTCATTCTAGTGAGTTTGCGAAGTTGTTCGCCTAACGTTTCATCTTCGCCTAACGTTATGCGTTTCATGCAGCTATATTATGACAATATTGCAAGGCATATGGGCTAGATCGTCTGTGACTTAACCCTCGCCCGTACCTATTGGTGTTTTCCCAGTTGCTGTTGGAATCCGCGGAGTAGGTAACGATTCCAGGGGCGGCGGATTCGGGGGGGGGAGGGGTGGCAGAGGGGGCAGCTGCCCCCCTGGCAAACTCGTGGGGGGCAAAAGTATCTTTTTTCCCCCATAATTTGTGACATAAAACTTTGACAAGAAGCCATATATTAATTTTGTTCGATCATCTGAAGATGTTATCAGATGCCCTTTATTATTATTATGCCCTACATTATCTCAATTCTCAGGAACTATGATATAGCTAGAAAAACGCTTGGAAATGCAATCGATAGCTTTTGAACTCTTCTTTTGATAAGGTCATCATCAAAAATGGCCCCAGGTCAACGGTTTAGCCTCCAGAGGGCAAAAACTCCAAAATAGCTGTTTTTACGAAAAGTGTTTTTTCGACAATAACTTTTGACTAAAAAAGCGACGTCATTTCTATCGGCAGAATCGTGTTCCTCTCGCCGAGACGCGTCGAATGAACTATAATTTGACCTTGAAAGGTCAACTTGAAAATTTGACCTCAGATCAAGGTCATGACCTGACCGGAAAAGGTCATGTTGCATATCAGTCGATGCGTCTCGGCAAGACAAACACAATGAGGCCATTCCCAGCGTTCTATCTCTTTCTAATCGAGAGTTATTGGCAAAAATCTGTTTGTAGCCTCAAATGACCTCGGATGACCTTTCTAGAGACTATCAGCAAAAAAGACACCCTGGTCGTCACGGGTGGTCCAAATCATTGTGATTCTGAAATAATTGGACTGTTCCTATGCGTAGATACGGATCTAGAGGCATTTTCGTTTTTCTCCATTGACAATGAAAAGGTCACGCCACTGACCTGACCTTAGGTCACGGATATAAAAAATCCGAGATATGCAAATTGCAGGCGCCCATAATGTCATGCAATCCACCAAGTTTAAAACCTCTCTAACAAACACTGCAGGCCGGACATGATTGCAAACTTTTTAGGCTTGATCAGTTAACAGTTAACTTGACCTGGTGACCTGACCTGACATGACCTGGG